CCTCACTGCCGGGCCTGGTGGAGGGAGGCCGTTCGGCCGGGTTCTCCTTTGTGACAGAGAGCCCTGATTGTGGCCTGTTCCTCGCTTCCTGGTCACTCAGGCCAAGCTGGAGAGCAGCCACTGCCCCACCATCCAGGGCCGCAGGCCCACCAGAGGGGCGAGTGTCCAGGGGCTTTGCCGCCCCAGTTCAGGGCTGCTTACGATGCCGGAAAGGGCCCCGGGGCTCCACCTGCTTGGAAATCGGGGAGTTCGCAGGAAGTGGGGGGATGTCCGGTAATGGTGGACAACAGGGAGCCATGTTGCAGATGAAGCTTCAGTGTGTGAGGCAGCAGGCGTGCAGGGGAGGGGAGGGCCAAGGGGTACCTGCACGTCCTTGCCATGGCTGGGGCGGGGGGGGGAAAGGAGGTGGACTGTCACGGAGACTGCACTGGCTGGCAGGGGTGTCACAGCAGGGGGATGGAGGTGGAGAGGCTGCAGCCAGGTGTGGGGAGCAGGACGCACTCAGAGCCTGGGGGAGGTGGGGGCAGGCCCTAGGGGCCATTGGATCCCAGCCGCTCTGACCAGCTGCCCACAGACAGGTGTGGCTCACAGGGTGGGGGCAGGGCACAAGCTGCTGTGGGCTGCTGGGACTGCGTGACCCTGAGGTGGCCCGTCGGGACCTGAGGCTGCCCTCCGAGGGAGGCGGGGCTCTCACCATGCAGCCAGGTGCCCTGCCTGTAGGCTCCTGGGCAGGGGGGTTGACCTCGTGCCGTCCTTCCCTCCAAGCCTGCCCAGGCCACTTCTGTGTAATGCGAGCTGAATGTGGCCTGGCCTCGCGGGAACGCTGCCTTTCCCACCACTGCGTTCTTAAACCCTTATGAGCTGCCCACACGCACAGGGGTGTTCAAACCTGGGTTTTAGGGGCTTTCTCCCTCTGAATTCTGGGGTAACGTGACGATTCTGGGCTAGTCTTACCCCGTTCTCAGGAGGGGCGTCTGCAGTGGAGGGGGGGGGGGCCCTGTGCTGGGCAGGGCGGGGGCGCTGAGGAGCACCCGTGTCTCTCCAAGGCTCCGCCACACCAGGGAGGCTGTGAAGGCTGCGCTGGCAGACGACTTTGACACGCCTGCGGCGGTGGACGCGGTCATGGACCTCATCCACCGCGGGAACGGACAGCTGCAGGCACGCACTAAGGTAGCCCCAGCACACGGCCGTGGCGCTTTCCCTCGGCGGGAAGGCAGGGATGCCACCCTGCCGCCTCCTGGAGTGGCCCCCAGGCCTCCCCTGACTTCTGGGAGCTGCCCTGTCCTGCATGGGACCCGCCCTCCCAGAGCAGGGAGGTTGCACACACGGACAGGCAGCATCACGTGTTTGCTGATGCAGGAAGTACCTCCTGATCCCTCCGTTTGCTCAGAACTCGGGGGAACCCGAGTTTGATGGGATGTGAACTAGGACATTGGGGGAAGCTGTGTTGGGACCCCAACTGTGCCCACCCCACCCGGCCCATCTTTGGGCCTTGGCAGTAATGCCCTTGGTGAGGCTCTGTCCCCATGAGCCAGTGACCCCTTAAGGACCCACCTGCTGAGAGCATCACACCGGGGGTTAGGTTTCAACATCCAACTTTGGGGGACACAAGCATTCAGACCTACCAGATCCCTGTGTTACAGACGGGTAGACTGAGGTGCAGGGGTGACGTGGCTTCCCCGTCGTGCGGTGGGCTGGTGAGGGGCAGCTCTAGGACTGAGTCTAGAATGTCCTCCCGGCACGAGGACCTGAAGCCCGGACCGGCGGGGACCTTCCAGGTCTCTGTTCCACGTCACTTCCTGTGCTTTGAAAGCGCCCCTTTTGGGTGATCTGCCCCAGGAGCCCAGTGGTCCCAGGAGTCCTGCCGTGTTCGGCTCCATCGTGTCCTACATTGAACACTTCTTCGAGACCGTCGGGATCTCTCTGACGGACAGACAGGTACACCTTTCTCTTTTCAGGCCTCACTTGTAGGATCAGGACTATGTGCAGGAACCACTGGCTTTTCCCCTTTTAAAACGTTCATTTCAGTGGATAATTGTGTTGAATTTATTTACGTGTTTAAAACACGTTCTTTAAAAAGAAAAGAGGCTTAGAGCTAGTATCTTCCTTCCGGAAGCTGCCGGGAGCCCACGCAGAACCAGCAGCCCATTGGCTGCAGACTGCCTGCTGTCACTTCTGCACGCGTGCTCCTGTGTGGTGTTGACTTTGTAAGACTCAAAACGCAGGTAGTTGCACAGAGGACATTTTTCCTGAGCCTTCCGAGAGTAAGCTGCCGGCCGAGCCCCTTGGTGTCTCCTGCCCCCCTCCCCCGCCCCCCCCAGCCTCCTCCTCAGGCAGCCTTCTGCACACACCCCCTCCAGGGCCCCACCTCCACGGCACCCTCCCCACGCTGTCCTGCCTGATGGCTTCAGGACTGTGAGACCAGGGAAGGAGGGGAAAGGTCAGGGCTGCAGACAGGTGTGACCGTCACACGCATGCCGGGATCTCTCTTCCCAGATTGTGCTGTTGAGTAGTAAGCAGCAGCCTGCCCGGCCCGGCCCTCATCAGAAAGTGCTCCCTCACCTTCCCCACCTCGGCAGCTGACACCGGCTCCCACTTGGGGCTCACGTTTTTGTAGTCGGAAAATCGTCTTTTACTGCAGAAGCAGTAACTGAGGATAGTATAGGTTCCAGAAGCTTGACCCCACAGTTGTGAAATGTGTAATTCACACATGTGAACAGCTGCTAGGATCCCCTCCCATGAGGAAGAAGCTGTGTCGGGGGGGAGACAACTTCTGGCAGCTTCAGATGCATGCGACCCGCTGAAGTTTCTCCCCCAGGCTCGGGGAGCGTTGGCCAGTGTGCGAACCACGTGTGAGTTTTATGCAGTTTTGAGTAACTGGTTAGAGGGAACAGATTCGGTTCCGTTAGTCAGTATGGTGTGGACTTTCCGACTCTTGGTAATCACATCTATGCACTCGCAGCTCCTGGCCCGGCCGCCTGGCCTCCCGGGGACCCCTCCCTCCCAAGGACGTGGGTGGCAACGGGGAGCTCTGCCTGGTGACCCAGGCGTGCAGGCCAGGAGTGTGAAGAGGGGCCAAGGGCCCAGACCAGGGAGGACGTGCTGCGCCCCCCACCCCCCACCCCAGGCACGGCCACTTCCCGGCCTCACTAACCACGCCACTCCCCTGGGTATAGTTCGTTCCAGGCGACGACAGCCAGGCCACTCTCCACAGCGTGGTGGAGGAGCTGGTCCGGTTCCGGCTCAAGGTCCGGCAGTTCGCGCTGGCCAGTGGAAAGGCCACCGGGGAGGCCCAGCGGCAGCAGCGGCTGGACAGGCAGCCCCTGCTGGAGGCGTGTGACGCTCTGCGCCAGGACCTCACCGCCCACGGCATCAGCATTAAGGTGAGCCATCAAAGCCGGGGGCACCGTCACCCCGAGGGCCTCTGTAAACCAGGCGGGGGCACGCAGACGCGGAGTGGTCCAGGCCAGAGCCCGCTGGGCTGATGGCGCTCCTGAGCAGAGGACCACCCCTCCCCCCCCCCACCCCAGTGACACAAGGGACCCATGGGAATATGTACTGGGGAGGGGATGCTGCGGCTGGGGACGGATGCAGGAGCAGGCCCAGGTGGCCCAGGCCTGTGGAAGCAGTGGGGTGGCAGTGAGCCCTGTGTCGCCCCCTCACGCCATGAGCTGAGGGAGTCCGCTCAGCCAGAACCTTCTTCCTCTGCAGGACAGGAGCAGCACGTCCACGTGGGAGCTGCTGGGTCAAGACCACAGACCAGGGAGCTGAGGGCTCCCGACACAGTTCTGTAAAAGCTTTACATTAAAGTTTCCTATTGTAGCTGTTCAGTGAACATGGAAGTAAATCAGTGACACCGTATGCCTGAAATGTGCATTCTTCATGATGCCGATGGACAGGGGCAGTTCTCAAACCTCCTCGGCAGCACTGGTCCTTGATGCTGGCCCTGTGCCCGCGGGTGACACCATGGCAGGACCCCACGAACCCTGGAGCCCCGACATCAGGACGCAGGTCTCACAGGAGTCAGGACGGAGTGGCCTGCACCTTGAGCCCTGGGCAGTGCTGAACTAGGGGTGAGGACCCGTCCCTACATTCCCTTCTGGCTACACAAGTAACGTGTTAATCATAGGAAACCACATAACCACTCCCGCAGTCACTGCTGCATTCACTCTGACTGTGGTCTCTTCACGCCGCATGTAACCTTTTCAACCATGGTTCTCGTGTGCCATCCTTTGTGGCCTCTGAGCAGACATAATTGGGCAGTGCTCCAGGGGCCGATTCTGGAAGAGCCCGGATGCCAGGGTGAGAGCAAGTCACAGGTAGGAGAGAACAGACTGCAGGGCGGGACATGGCCACATGGCTCATGGCATGGCTGAGTGTGTGGTCTCCCTGCTTTCAGTCCGTCTCTTCCCACCCGCTGTCCCATACTGCCGAGCTGGCATTTCCTGGGCCTGTGGGTGAGCACATGGCCACCTTCACTTCATCCCTGGCCTCCAGGATCCCAAAAGGCACCAATGCCCCCTTTTACCCATTCATAACTAGACTTGCCTACAATGACCCAGCTCATGCAAATATACCCCAGGCAGGTACGCCTCTTAAAAGGATACCAGAGTCCCTTCAGTACCTGGGGGTCACACTGTCCCCTGATGGCCGCAGGCCGACCTCAGCCCCCCCAAATGTGCTCTGTGTTGCTAGCCTGCTCTCGGGGAAAAGCACGTCCCTAGCTGGAGCTAGTAAGTTCAGATGGGTTTGTAAAAGCACAAGAAATCAGTTAATTTTCATAACAGCCACTTGCCCCTAGCTACAGGAATTTTGAGCAAGAGGGTTTGTACTTAGAGCAAACCCATAAAAACCGTTGCTGTGACTACTACAGTTTATTTTCAGAAGGAAAGGCCGAGTGCATTTTAACAACGTTGGCGACAGGCTTTTACATTTTCATCTCCCTGCTGTCTGTGTCCTCACCTAGGAAAGGCGTCTGCTAAAAAAGGAATACAAAACCATGCGTTGAAATAAACCAGATTTGCCTTTTAATAGTCACCAGAATTTAGATATAATTCCCCAAAATGAAAAACAGTGAAGTTTTTAAAGTTACACCTGAAACAAGGGGGGTGGGGAGGGAGAGACAGGTTTTTAAGAAATGTGGCTTTAAAGGAAGGATCCATTTGAGGTCAGGGGTCACAGTATCACCCTAACCATCAGGGCAAAATGACGTTTGAAGGAACCACATGGGTCACGAGCGACTGCCCAGGCATCACACAGACCTCAACTTCTTGACCAGAATCTGCTCCTGAGGACACACCACCTCCAACCAGCAGGGCCCTGCTGTCTGACCGTGTTCAGTCCCCTTGCCCCGATGGGCCACGTTGGAGCCCCACCCACACGCTCAAGGCTCAGTGTCGTTTCCTCCAAAAACCAATCACTGATTGTTCTGAAATGCTCCCATTAGCCCAAGCCACCAATGCTTATTTCTGCCGGGTTTCAATGTACTCAGTGTTTAAAAAGCAAACGTGAACGAGAAAACGAAGGCCACGCTGCCACCCGGGGGGCCTCAATTTTAAAAAGCACAGCTCATCATCGTGCAGGTATTTGGACAGGACCCAGGGGATCCCCGTGGGGGGGCATGTAGCACGGGGAGCTCCTCACAGAAACAGGAAGCAGGCCGAGTCCACAGCGCCAGCTCAGCGGCCGGGACCGTGGACGTCTTTCTCTCCATCACTGCTGAACAGCCAGGAAAGTTCAGAAATCCTGTTCAAGTCCCTTTAACACCTATAGCTACGTGTTAAGGCCAAAACCAACCTGTGGATCATGCTGCTCTTGTACCCCAAGGACGGGGACCCGTGACAAATGCAGCGTCCCCATCCGTGGCACGGCCTGCTTCCCGTTGCCTCGGCTCAGGTTTCAAAGAGTCTGCGGAACGCGGGCCCGACCTCCGCGATCATGTCGGTGGTGGTGGTGGAGCGGCCGTGCTTCTGGAAAGCCTGGTGGCCGCACTGGCGTGTGAGAGAGCATGCGCCCAGGGCGGCCAGGAGCAGAGGGCTGGACCTGGAGGGAGGACCGTCAGACAGGCTCCACTTTCCCTCCCACGTCCCCCTGACACCCCAAACAGGTTCAAGCCTGCCGGGCCCCTGAGGCAGAAGGCGGCTTTATGACCAGGGACACGGATACGCCCGGACACAATACCCACCTGCCTGGAGGACACACTGCAGCTTCCCCCCACAAAGCACGGCCTAGAGCGCCCTCGGTGCCAGGGTGCAAGGATGACTGAAGATCTGAGAACACGGGTCCTCGCCCCCGTCTGACACCAGACCCCCGTGCGGCACCCGCGCGGTCCGTGCCCACCAGCAGTGCCGCCACCCTGCAGGTCCCATATAGCTTCACGGGTGTCGAGGGGGCCTCCAGACCCGGGACATCCCGCCCCGGCCCATGTGGCCACCAGTGTCACGTGATGCGTGTGAAGGACGGGAACTGCCTGAGCTCACAGTTCCGACCGGGAATGTGAACCAAGCCTGCATCTCCCAGTCCTGCCACTCAGAGGAAACTACTCTCTCGGGACAGCGGGCACAGCCAGCTCCCCTTGGCCCCGCTTGTTGGTCCCACGCTTCTGCCGTACGAGGGGGTACACCTTGTACCCCCTGGAACAGGGTCCTGAGCATGGCCGCATGTTAGAATTAACTGGGGGCTTTAAAAACTCCTGACACCTCGGAGCCATGGGCGCCGAGCAACAGGGCAGGGCCCCAACCTCGCACGGAGCAGGAGCTGTGCGGGTGACCGTCCTGGGACCCTCCTGCCCTGGGGTCGCCTCCACGTGATCCCGAGCTTTCCCCTGCAATGTTCCAAGCGGCTATATGTATGAGCAAACGAAGTGGCTCACACGGCTGGGAACCGGAAGGACAAGGGAAGAAGACATCACATACCCGTTTGTCTTCTCGGGGCCGGCGTGTAGCGCCCAGTGCACCAGGACACCCAGGGCGCCCGACAGCAGGTCTCCCTGGCCGCCACACCTGCGGCTGCTGCCTTCGTGGGCACACTCGAGCACTGCGGGGCAGGAGGGACAGGGCCGTCAGAGCGAGCTGGCCTGTGCCCGGGGCGTGATCTGGATCAGCTCCGGCCCTTCCCGTGTGCTCCTAATGAGGCGGTGTGTTTTAAGGAGAGCAAAGCCAGACGGGTCTGGAACCACCTGAGCCGCGCAGGTGGCGAGCAGACTCGTACAACTGGTAGGGCGCTGCCAGAACACATCGGAGAAGAGCACAGGTACACGGGGTGGCCAGGCTCACGGGCTCCGAGAGCCCAGGCCACCCAAGGACCGGCACCGCCTTCAGGGAGGTGTGTGCCACGCGAGTGCCCCCGGCACAGACCCAGCTGTGACCGTTTCGTTCACACTGTGTCACGAGCAGCTGTTTTGAAAATACAGATCTTGCAAACGGGTTATTTACAGCCTCTGAATGTGTCACACTCTAGAGCTCTCTCCAGCAATAAAAGCCCCAAGGGTGTCAGGGTCCCCCAGAGGACACTTGCTGTGTCTGTTGACCGCGGCCACGTGAGTGAGCACTCTCGGTGCACAAGGGTTTCTTCCCCTTACGGCAGGTGACAGTCCTGGGTCACGCTGTTACAGCCGGTGTGATCCCTGCCCCCCATCACGGTAAGTGAGCGGAGGACCGGCTTTCAGGGCACTAGGGAGGCGCTGCAGCCGCCAGAACCTCCCCCTGCTCGGCCCACTCAACAGCCCACAGGCCCCGGCGCAAGGACGAGGGGGACGCAGCCCCTCCAGCACCTGGCAACCCCTTCCCCGGGGTCAGCTCCGAGCACCTCCTCACTCTCCCACTGTTTTCACAACAGAACAGAATGCGGTAGAATAGTCAAACTTGTCTATGACCCCGAAGGAGTGGGAGGCAGCGGGCCAGGGACCCCGGAGCACCCCCTGCTGACCGGACCGCGTCGCCACCGCCCCTGGCGTCAGGGAGGGTGAACGCCCTGCATGCTCAGTCCCCTTTGCCAAACAGGAATAAAACTAAGCTCATCAGGAAGTCCCTCTGTGTGGAACACGTGTGGCACAAGGGACCGCATGAGCCACGGGGACGGGTCTTCCAGGGCCCAGGGCCCAGCATTGGCCACCCGGGCTGACAGGCGTGAGGCCTACAGCTACCCACCGTGTTCACCGTCAGACATCACGTCCCGCTCCCCTTTCCGGACCACGGTCACGTTCCCCAGGGCCTGGCTGAGTCTCCGTACGGCTTCACGATGATCACTGCCGTCCACAAGGTCCCTAAGCTGCGAGGCGGGACATCACAGACAAGGCTGTCGGCGGACGCCAACGGCGGCACGAGCAGCACAAATACCGCCCTCCTGTCGACAAGGAACACTGCCCGTGGTGGAACTTTCAAGGCTCACAGAAGTGACACAGGCCTGAATGATGACGCGCTAACATTCATGGGGTGCTCAATATGGAAGAACTCGTGGGTTTACATCTGTTGTGTCATTTCGTCCTCACAGGCCCTACGAGGTGATGCCGTCATTACCCACATTCCACGGGCCAGGCAACGCGGGCAGGGATGGGCTGATCCACAGAGCACCCACCCACCTCTCATCCACCAAGAGACACGCTAGCGAGAAGACGCCCCATCATCACATGCCCCGCCAGGAACCAACAGCACTGTTAGCATGTGGGGGAACACGCATCTACCCACTGACCGTGTGCAGGGACAGGTGGGGGCAGAATCACAGCATCGCCCCACCCCGTCTTCTAGAGTGGAGAGGGGGGACCTCACACCCCATCTCAGGAGGGACTCAGGCTCACGCCCCGTCTCCTGAGAGGTCAGCAAACTCACCACGGCGTCAGAGAGTCTGGTGAATTCCCCGTGGTTGGGAGTGAGAACGGCCTTCCGGTAGCCGTGGATGAGGGCCGGGTGCTGAGCAATGAGCCACAGCCCGTCCTGCAGACAAGAACAGGTATTTAGTGCACAGCCTCGGGCCTGGCTGTGAGAAGGGGAGCAGAGGAGAGGCCACACTCACCGCATCGATGATGATGGGGACATCCCTGGCCTTGGATGCTTCTAAGATGCCCTACAAGGAAAAGGAAACCACACTGAGCGACAAGCCCTCACCCCTCGGCGGAATTCAAAGAACACCAAGCAAGCAGTTCCGCAATGAATTACAACAACAGGTCATTGACAAGCAGAAATTAAATGTGGGCAACAAGCAGAACAGACCCCCCCCCCCCCCCGACCCAACAGTGAGCCCCTCTGGAAGTCAGGGCCAGCCCACAGGGTGGACCCCAAAGCAGAGTCTCCCACTCTTCCATCAGCACTCACCGGGGTTCCCAAATCATCAGTTCTTATGCAAATTTCTTAACATTTTGTGTTTTAAAATAAGTGACCACGGGGCACCTGGGCAGCCTTTCATTAATATCCTCAGCTCTGGTCAGGATTCCAGGGTGGGATTGAGCCCTACACTGGGCTCTGCGCTAACAGGGGGGAGCCGGCTTGGGACCCTCTCTCTCTTACCCTCCCCTGCTCACATATGCACTCGCATGTGCCTGCTCTATCTCGAAATAAACTTTAAAAAGATAAATGAAACCAGTGATGATAATAAGCAGTAAATCACCTCTGACAAGGTTATACTCCAAGTTTCAGAAGTTTTTTACTAAATTATCTTTTTTCCCCCCAATATATGAAGTTTACTGTCAAACTGGTTTCCATACAACATCCAGTGCTCATCCCAAAAGGTGCCCTCCTCAATACCCATCACCCACCCTCCCCTCCCTCCCACCCCCCATCAACCCTCAGTTTGTTCTCAGTTTTTAAGAGTCTCTTATGCTTTGGCTCTCTCCCACTCTAACCTCCTTTTTTTTTTTTCTCCCCTCCCCCATGGGTTTCTGTTAAGTTTCTCAGGATCCACATACGCTAAGTTATCTATCCACAATCAACATACATACACTAGCTTATTGCTATGAACCAGTATTTTACAAGATCATGTGCTGCAAATGCACTTGAAAGTAGAAAACATTAAGAGAACAATGAAACAAGAGCCCTGCTCTAGGACGGCTGGTGTCCTTGGAACGGGAGAAGAGGAAGGACACGGACAACATGGAGACAACTGTGTGATGACACAGCAGGAAGGCCAAGGAGACAGGCCTCGGGAAAAAGCAAACCTGCTGACACTCTGCTGTCAGACGTCTCCCAGGACGGGGGGAGCGGGGGGACCAATGTCTGCTGTCCCAGCCCCCGCCTATGGTGGTCTGTGGTGGCCACCTGAGCAGGCAGGTACAGATGTCTAGTGCCTCAACGGCGTAAACTCCAGTGTCTTCTGGGCCCAAGAGGAAAAGCAAAGGAACCAGGGGATAAATCCAGGACAGGGGACAGCTGCCTTAATGATGGCCCTGACTTGGGATTTGTAAGACAGATGTGTTGATCTCTGTGAGGCAACTGTTTGACTTAGGCTTCAAGCGAAACGGTCCAAAATATGTACTGAGCAGCTAGGACATCGCCAGGTCACACGCTCTGGACCTCCGGAAAGCGTCTTGTGATGTACACGGGCTCAGCGTCCAAAGACCGTCCCCGAAGCCCCAGCTCTGCCACTTAGAGTTGAGTGAACTTAGGTCACTTTACTTCTGTGAGACCGGGTTTTCTGATCGCTAAAATAAGGATAAGACCTTGAGTAATACTCTGAAGTTTGTATGAGGACTAGAGATACCGCTTCTAAAGATTTACCCAGCTCTTAGCAAGGGAGCTGACAGTCCACAAATGGTAGCTGCAGTAATCATTTTAAGTACACAGTCTAGCCCTGAGCCTGACAACTGCTTAGGTCTAACACACATTTACCTTTAAACTATTTCCTTCAAGTAAATTATTTTGGAGGGTCCGAGGACCTGCACATACTTGAAATGCAACCATTAAAAAAAGAAAACAGTAAAACAAAATACATGGTAAGCAGAAATAACTTAAGACATTAAAAGGTAAATCCACATACGTTTCATACAAAGTTATTCTGAAAATGAAACGAAGAGCCCATGAGACCAGAGCTGCCCTGCCCCACGGCCTCAGTGGTCCTTTGCTGACACGGGTGTGAGCGATGGGAGAGCGGCCAAAAGCCCCCTCAAACGAGGGTCGGGGCACAGGAGGCTCGTGGAGCCGTACTTCCTCCCTTACAACGAAAACACTCCTGCTTGCTTGGAGTCTGGCTCTCCCGTTAGAACAGATTCAGCTTGACTAATTCCACTTTCCCGGATCTCTGGGTGCAGGCTGCAGCGCCTGGCCACAATGAGGATGCCTCCGCCTCTGTGCTTTCCTATCACATTTCTCACAGAGAACAGTGAAGTCCACATTCAAACGCCGAGAAACCTCAGGCAACACAGCGGGGGATCTGAGTCGTGTAACGTCACAGGTCACTTGGCTCTCCTGAAGCACGGAGCCACATGTCAGTTGCCCACTGAAGGACCAACTGCTTCCGTCACTCGGAGGACTTGTACGAAGTGCACTGTGCACGTGGCTCCGTCCCCACTGACCCCACTGCCAGGACAGCAGCCACAGTGGCGGCCAAGGCCCCGGAACACAGCAGACAGAGGGGACAGCAGCACCCAGGGAGACCAGCTGATGACACGACCACACCTCTCTCCACGCACATCTAGTTAGCGCTACAGGGTCCTACAGGGTGGATGGAAAGGAGTGAACGAGCGCCCCCACAGGTCAGAGGAGGCTGCGCAGCAGCCCCGCGTGTCCAGCAGAAAGACGCAGCTGCAAACAAACCAGCAGGGGGCGCCCAGGGGTCAATGGGTTGAGGGTCCCACTCCTGATTTCCGCTCAGGTCGTGATCCCAGGGTTGTGGGCTTGAGCCCTGCATCAGGGCTTAAGATCCTCTCCCTCCTGCCCCCCACCCCGACTCGTGCTTGCTCGCTCGCTCTCTTTAAAAATTTAAAACAAGTAAACCGGGAGTACTCCCTGGGGAAGGGGCTGAGGGGAGAAGGGATGATGGCCCCCAGAGCAGAGTCCTGGCCAGGCAGCGCTCCAGCAGAGGGAACAGCCGTACGCACAACTTGCAGATGGTTATCCTGAAGAAGACGCCCAAAAGAAATGGACGCACACTCATGCACAAATGTTCAAGACATCAGCACTGTAACAGGAAAAAGCCAGAAACAGCCCAAATGAACTAGTTAAATATGGCATGTGGTGATGTAGCTATTAAGAATCATGAGGAATATACACATACCCTGTCAGGAGAAAGTGTCCAGGACTTAGCATGGAACAAGCATAAACTACAGATAAAAAGAATGAGGCTAGTCAAGAGCCTCCATTCTAGATCTGGAAAACTCTGGTTCAAAACCAGCATATGAACTGGAAGACTTCACAGCAGCAATCCCCCCCCCCCCCAAAGCTGACCTACAGATTCAACACAATCCCTGTCGGAATCCCATCTGCCTCTTTGGCAAACTGACACGCTGATCCCAAAACTCCTGGAAAAGTGCACGGGACCCGGAACAGCCAGAATACTCTTGAAATGAACAAAGCTGGAGAGATCGCACAAAGCTTATCGCATAGCCACCGTCATCAGGACTGAGTGGCACCAGCACATGGACAGCCGTACAAACCAATGAACAGAAACCAGAGCCCAGAAATAAACCCTTATGCCCACGGATTTCCAGCAAGGACACCCAGACAGCTCACTCGAGGCAAGTGGAGCTGGAACTGAACATCTACTTGCCAAAGAACACAGGTGGACTGCTTCCTTACACCATACGTCAAAATCAACTCAAAATGGACCACAAACCTAAATATCACAGCTAAAAAACAATTAAGCTCTTAAAAGGCAGGACGTGATCAGAATTAAAAATGTGTGCTGCAAGGGGCACCTGAATGGCTCAGTCGGTTAAGTGTCCATCTGACTTTGGCTCAGGTCATGATCTGGCTCAGGTCATGATCTCATGGTCTGTTGGTTCCAGCCCCGAGTCGGGCTCTGTGCTGACAGCTGGGAGCCTGGAGCCTGCTTTGGAGTCTGTCTCTCCCTCTCTCTCTGCCCCTCCCCCACTTGCGCTCTGTCCCTCAAAGATGAATAAACATTAAAAAATAATTTAAAGTGTGCTGCAAAAAACAAAAATCAAAAACAAAAATTGTGCAGCAAACACAAGTTCCTCAAAACGTGAGCAAAAGTGATCACAAAACCTGTAACAAAGATTCGCGGTGGTGTTACTCGTAACAACCCAAGCGGAAGCCACCCAATCGTCCATCAAGTGATGGACAGATAAACAAAGTGTGGTCCATCCACAAGGGAACGTCAAACAGCAATGAAAGGAGTGGAGCCCTGGGCCACAGCGCACACAGACGAACCCTGAAATGCTGGGTGAACACAGCTGGTCACAAATGCCATGTAGTGTTAAGACTGAACTGCTAGGAAAGGCCCAGAACAGGCAGAGCCACAGACCACGCCGCCTGACACCTCACCTTGGGGGGGGGGGGGGGGGGCGGTCAGGATTCCAACACGTGAGACTGGAGGGACACACACACTCAGACCACAGCTCTTAAAAGCAGCAGCCAGAATTTTGAGGTTACGTTGAATCCATCCACACCAATAGCATCTCTACGTCTCCACAGCACGTGAGCAAGAAACCTCGCCATAATTCGATAATCAGGGTCAAGGAGCATGAAAGAAGAAAGAGGCCAGAGAGACTGTTGTGAGCTCCACTCTGTCACGGGGCCAGCGGTGAACCGGTAGGTCACAAAAGGTCAAGAATCCCATCATCCTGAGGGTCACGGGGGCACCAAACATTCTGACACTGTTCCGGCAGGAACCCTCACTTGCCTCTCTTCCTGAAGACAAACCATGTGGCAGAGAGGCTGTCCCAGGCCCTGTCCCACCCACGCTGCGTGGACAGCCACCATCTCAGGACAAGAGCACACTGCAGACCCACTGTGTACGCACGGGGACGCCCCTCCCGTCTCCCTCTCGCCTCACGTGACCCAAGGGGCCTGGCACTCCTCAGCTACGATTGCTCCAACTTTTCAGCAAGAGGTCAAGGCTCCAGGGCTGGATGATGCCACCTGGCAGGCAGCATGACCCCGTGCTGGTGCAGGTGGCTCTGAAGCAGGAGCGCCCCAATGCCCCTCGTTTATAGGGTGTCACCTGGAACTACTGTTCGACTGTGCAGGACTGGCTCTCAGATTACCTGCCCCAAATGTCCAAGCGTTAGCTCTTTTGGCTCTCTGGAGGACAAGTCAGTGGCTGTCCTCCCATGGCAGGCGTCTGTCCCCACGCCTCTTGTTCCAGAGCAGAGTGGGACACCCGCACGTGAGCGATCCCAGCAGCAGGGTGAAAAGCTGACACCCCAAGAGCAAGAGACGCATCCCATCCCGGTTGGTTGTTAAAACCTAAAGGTTTGCTACTCTCTCTCTGCCTAGTTCCTCCTCCCTACCCCAAACCATCTCCATGACTCCATCAAGAGGCACCGGAACACTGAACAGACACTCCATCAAAGTGCTCGTCTTCTGACTTCCGAGCTCAGTCGGGTCCATGAGAAGAGGGAAGTTCGGTAATTCTCTACGTTACCTTAACGTTTTCGAGAAGAACGTTGTCTCTGCCCAGGCCGGGTCCTACCACCAGGGCGTGCAGTCGGGGCAACCATGTCTCCACGTCCCGCACGGCACTGGGGCTGTCGCTGCGCAAGGAAAAGAAGGGCAGAGCACTTACAGTCTGCACGTGCTGGCTTACCCTTTAGGGAGACCACAAGTTCTTCTGGATTCCCCCGTTCTTATTCCGAGTTCCTTCTCTGTGCCGGGACCGCACCCGGCATCCAGCCATCAGCCTCCCTGGCCTCCTCCGCACACGGGTTCTCCCCAGAACACCCAGCTGCGGAAACCTAGCTCTCAACATCTACCATAAGCCAGACAAGACACGTGGCTCCTTCATAACCATCTCTGCCCTCTGGAAGGAACCCGTCTGTCTCCATCACTCACAGGAGGCACCCGGGGGACCCTGTACAACGGAAGAACGCCTTCACTTAGCACAAGACCTGACAGCTGGAGGCACTTGTGTCACTCCTTCCCACCCATCATCTCGCTCTTAAGACTCTTGCAACCCACCATGTAAAGCCTTGCCCAGAACAACCCCACTGTGAGCCCCAAGCAGCCGTGCTTAGTCTTTGTGTGACTGACTGACTGCAGGGACGCAGGTACTTCCAAGAGGGTGCGGTTGTCCAGAACACCCCGCCCCCCCCTCTGCTCCCAGATGTCCACATGCTGGGCCGAACCTGCTGACACGCACTCCTGGTGGCCTCATCCTGTCTCCTGGCTTTAAACCTCTCCCACACGTGAACCCCTGATTTACCCTTTCCCTGACCACCTCCGTCTCATCCGGTGCCTGACGGCAATGTGCTCAGATGTCCGACAGGCAAGTGAAAACACACCCAAAAGCCAGCCCCTGACGGTCAGGCTCACCCAAACCTGCTCCCCCATGCCCCCACCTTGTTAACGGACAACCAGCTTGGACCAAAGCCAGGGCGGCCTTCACAACCCTTTTCCTTCTACCCCGCATCCCACCTGTCAGCAGCCCCTGGGCTGTACTTTCAGACGTGCCATGAATCTACCCCCTTCTCCTACTCGTACCCATCATTCACTGTCACCTATGACACCCCCATGCAACCCCTGCTTCCACCCTGGGCCCCAAGAGCTGTCAACACAGCAGCCAGACGAGCCTGTTACAATATCCACTGGATGTGGCTGTTGCCCTGCTCAGGGGCTCCAGCGGCCCCCCTGCACTTACATGAAAGCCAGACCCTCGTGATGACCCCCACAACCTGCTAAGCTTGACCCTGAACCTCTCTGGTCACCTGCCCTACCTGGAGCTCCTATTGCTCCCCAACACCCCGCAGCCTGAGCTGTTGTATCAACCCTTCCCCGTGTCTGCAGGGCCCTACCTGAACGCACCCTCTGGGCCCCCGCTCATGATCACCCCACGGAAAAGCACACACATGCCACGTGCGTGCACCCCATGTGACATGTGGTGTTCCATCCCCTGCCCTGGCTCTCCACGTGGTCTTTACCACCCTCTGACACACTTGTCCTACTTGTCTGACTCTAGGACTTTGCTGCCCAGTAGGACAGACATCAGCCCCATGTGGCTACTTAAGTTTAATTAAAATAAAAGCCCAGCTTCTGAGTCCCACTGGCCACATTTTAAGTGCTGGGTAGCCACGTGTGGTCAGCAGCAAGGAGAACGTTTTCATCACTGCAGAAAGCTCTAGGGCACAGGGTTGTCCCAGAAAGGAAGCTACACAGAAGCAGGTGTTTTGTCTGCTTGGTCCTATGCTGTCCCTCTGGAAGCAGGGCAGAGACTGGAAGGGGAAGCATTTGCTGAATGAGGAAACGGCCCCACTACGGTCCGACGGGCTCATTACTGCTGTGGGGGCATGGCCACAGGCAAGGCCCCAACCTCTCCCCGGAGGCCTCAGCCCTTTCTGACAGCCACGGCGCACAGGGCCCTGGTGGCCTGAATCTCATCCCACGCTGCACACACATGGCTGCTGGGCTTCTGACCTTACGGCCTTGTCCCCTCTCCTGAGGGCACCTCCCGTCACCTCCCAGCACAGCAGCCACCGGGCAGAGGCACCTGCAGCCCCTGACGAGCTGCGAACCACCCGCGCGGCCCCACTCACAGAACGGGGTGAACGATCAGCTCCGGGCTGTATGACTTGATCACGGGTGCAGCCTCCCGCGTGCAGAACACGTGCGATAGATCTGCACCCTAAGAAACGAGCACAAGGGCGGACTCAAAGCACGGCCCACCCGGCAGGCACCGAAGGGGTGTCCGTACAAGCCCCTCGCCGCGGCCCCACACTAGGGCGAGGTGGCTCAGAGCAGGACAGACCCTAAGGAAAGGTCTTCAGAGAAAGCCTTTTGCAGCGCCCCCTCCCCGCCAAGTGGCAGGTCAACCCAGACCAATTCAGCTGTATCACCCTAAGGGCCGCGGGGGGCACATTTCACTCATACTGTGCCGACGACGGAGCTATTAGGACTTGATCAAAGGCCTAGGAAATCGCGAGGTGTAAAGACGCCAACTGCTTAAGGCAGGACAGAGGCGGTGTCCCAGGATTGCACTGAAGTACAGTCCTAATGAAACTTCAGTTAAAAACTCCCAGTTCTTTGGTCACAGCACAAGGTCAGGATAGATTTCAAGGTGCTTTTCGGGGCATCTGGGGGTTCAGTCGGTTAAGTGTCTGACTCTTGGTTTTGGCTCAGGTCATAATCTCACAGTTCAAGGGATCAAGCCCTGAATCAGGCTCTGTGCTGACAGTGCAGAGCCTGCTTGGGATTCTCTCTCCCCCTCTCTCTGCACCGTCCCCCGCCCCCAACGCTATCTCCTCCTCTTCCTTTCAAAAATAAACTTTAAAAGACAAAGACAAGCTCTTCACTAGACAGAGAAGCTGTAAACAGACCTACCACTTTGAGAGCGGAAATTGCTGCGAAGTAGGGGGCTCCCGTGTACCTAAAAAGGAAGATACTTACAGTCAGAAACTTCTGGGAAGGAGGCAATACAGCAGGTTTATCAGAGGGTTACAAAGACATGAATCACACGGCCCAAGGCCCAACACCTCACAGGTGCTCAGAAAATGTTCAGTGAACTTCAGCAAACATGGCTCACGACCAGACAAGTCACTGTGTCACATAAAACCTTTGTGCCACATCAGGACCGCCACTCTCTGCAGCACGGTGCCCACACGGAAGATGGAGGCGGCCATATGAGCTCACTGAAGGGTCTGCCAGGAGACCCCCAGGGGCAGGGGAGCACAACACAATCAGGCACCGAGACTCACACAGCTTCCTCCTGCTTCTGCCCTACCATTCCAGAATGCCTGTAACTGTTTTTAAGGTTGCATCAAACACAGAAAGGAAAATTCTTTTTGGGGGGGGGAGGGGGGGAAGAGGGGAGAGAGAACCCATTCACATAAGGGCGAGGGGGCAGAGGGGTGGAAGGAAGGAGAGGAACTAAAGCAGGCTCCACACTCAGCAAGGAGCCTGATGCGGGGCTCGACCCCATAACACGAGATCATGACCTGAGCCAAAATCAAGAGTTGGACGCTTAACCTACTGAGCCACCTAGGTGCCCCTAGAGAGGAAAATTCTTGAACTTGTCATCGGACTAGTGTAACCTTTACGTCAATCCCGAGCAGCAAAGGGAACCTAGGAAAAAGACTGAGAACTCTCTACACGAGACACTCTCCCAGAGCAGGGCCGCCAACGGGCCGGGAGCACAAGGCAGGACACACACACCCTCTCTGGCCCACCCCACAACAAGGACACAAAACAACGAAAACCAGCTTGCCTACTTGCCCAGCAGAGGCTGCCCACAGTCACAGGGCAGGGGGGCGGGGGATGCTTGCTGGTGCCAGCACACACATTAGTATCTGGAAGGCTAACGATGTGTCCTTACTGTATTATCATGTGGGGTACCATAAGGCTGTCACTTCACACATCTCTGAAGTATTTGAATTTTTATAAACAAGTACATAATGCTTTTCTAACCAGAATGAAGAGGATCCTACTTTAAAGCTTTAGTTCCTAAAGCTAATGGACAGATTTTAAATTAGATAATTACCCCCTAGCACGCTACACTACCAGACTATCTAAAAAGAAAACCTGAAGACCGATTCTTCCCATGCAAACGTCCCAAAATACAAAGCCGGAGTTGGAGGGGATCTGAGGAATAAAACTCCCGACATCCTCAACACTCTCAAGGGGGCTGGGACCCAAGGGGGCCCCCATCCCAGAGGCCGGAGGAGGGCTGTCCTTTAACTGGGGGCCTAAAGGAAGAAAGGCAGCTAAGAGCTAGTGATCCAAGAGTCCAACATGCGGTAGCAGGAAGAAAACCAGGTGCGAGATGAGAGCCAGTAAAAGGCAAACTTCCCCCATCCAAAGGGATCATGTCTACAGACAGAAAGCACTCAGCAAATCTCAAGATTATTGAAAAGAAGACACACCCAGACACATCTGGAGAAAACTGCAGAATTCTAAAAAAAAAAAAAAAGAAAACCTTACAAACAGCCAAGCAAGAGTAAATTACTTACTTACAGATTAAGGTGAACTTTTAAGGTGCAGAGTGGAGGCTAGAGGACAATATGATCACGTGCATGGATTACCAGAGAAAATCGCTGCCACTTCGGCCAAGGTGCAACTCAGCCTGCCTAGCAAGATACCGGGGGTGTGCAAGTCCTCCACGGGCCCCCTGCACACTCTGCACAAAGAACGTGCCAGAGGAGGCCAAGGACTCCTACCCTAACTGCAGCCCACCAGGCCAGGCAGGAAGCAGACAGCAGTGTAAGTGGCAATATACAAAGTGACAGTCAGCAGTGAGAGCTCTCTAGGAATTCTTAGATCACGTGTTCACTCTCCCCAGAGGCATTTTTAATTCACAGTAGGTAGAAAAGGCAGCCACTAGCTACATTTGAAAGTATAATAGGGGCGTCTGGGGGGCTCAGTCAGTCAAGCGTCCAACTTCGGCTCCCCATCAGTGAGTTCAAGCCCCGCATCAGACTCTGTGCTGATAGCTGGGAGCCTGGAACCTGCTTTGGATTCTGTGTCTCCCTCTCTCTCTCTCTCTGCTCCTCCCCCATTCGCATGCGGTCTCTCACTCTTAAAAATAAATAAACATTAAAAAACAAGGACAAATTACAAAATGTTATGCGTCGAATAACTCAGCGGCAAAATACATAAAACCAGAAGAGAGACCAGGCCACGAGAAAAGGGTAGGCTCTAATTTCATTAATGACTCCCACGAACATCTTCAAATTGACAAAGTACACCAAACACATACTGTTTTTATCCTGATTACAAAGTAATACCTGTTTGTAGCATGGAGCCTGGTCCATACAAACAAGGGAAAGGCAAGAAAAAACAGCCTCAGCCTCCACCACAGGCAAAATCGTAACACTGACACAACCCCCGCGGACCGCACACTCAGGGCCCGTTTTCTCCTATTCGGTCAAGAAGCTCATCACTGAAAGATACCGAGTGTTGTAACATGGAACTACATTTAGAGATGATTACTGGGGTCTAACTGGACAGATGGCGGGCCGCTAAGGAGGCAGACAGCCAGGTAACAGAGGTTGTTGACACGCTAACGTGGTCCAAGTCACTTACTCCTGGCAGCCTCCGACTATACCTATTCTTCCGTCCTGACCTTTGTGCTTCTTGGTGGTTAGAGGAGGGATGATATTCCTCACCAGCTGTAAAGTATTTTCCATATCCGTTATTGAATGTGGTTTATGCAATGAAAATGCTCTTCTTAAAACTGAAAAACAGGAAAACAAATTATTTAGAAAAATAAGTATCCATCGGCATACACAAAAGAGACTGACACGAGATAGCCTGTTAACCAAAACACCTCACAAAGCTGACTTAATATCAATGCTAGATTTTTATCCAAAGGCTTATTTTATTTCTATAAGCAAATGTTTAGAAATTACAACACAAAACACAAGCTGTACACCATCAAATTTGTTTCTGAAATGTGTCATTTTGAAGTCTAATCTTTCAGAAAATGTTTTTAATGCATTCCTACTTAATAAACTATACACATTCCATTTCAATCCTCCTTTAAGTCTTTTCTTTCAAACTGGAAGAGCAACTTCCCACTTGTTACCTTTCACGGTCACATTCAAGTCTGAGATTCACATTACTCCCAATTTGCCAGTCATGCTTCTGACACTCAGTTGGATACAAATTAAATAGTCCAGAAATGGGGGGCGCCTGGGTGGCTCAGTAGGTTACGTGTCCCACTCTTGATTTCGGCTCAGGTCATCGTCTCATGGTTTGTGAGTTCAAGCCAACGTGCTGATAGGGCAGAGCCTGCTTAGGATTCTCTCTCTCTCTCTCTCTCTCTCTCTCTCTCTCTGCCCCTCCCGTGTGCACTGTCTCTCAAAATAAACTTTAAAAAATTAAAAAAAAAAAAGCAACCTAGAAATGGCATTCTAAATAGTAAGGTGATTTTTAACTGTCAGCCCCATACTTTCTACCTTCTTGCAAACCAACACAAGCTAAGACTCAAAACAGAATCACTGTAAACCTCTGGCCAAGAAAAGGCACAAGTGGGCTTGCTCAGGGACACCCCCAGCCCGCTGACCACTGTGCTTCCAAAGTCCCGGGGAGTGTCCACAGTGCCACCTCCCAGAGGCGCTGCCTGTCCACACCCCAAATCTGCGGGCTGCACAGTCTTCTCGTGGGCACCCCCCGGTGAGCTGCATGAAGGGAGCTAGAGCCACTACAGTCACATGTGGTGACAAATCACTGCTCGAGAGCAATCCACACGGTCATGAAAATGCTTGCTCTGTGTTTGTTCCAAACGTTAGCACATCTACGTAAGGACCGGACTGGACAACACAAGAATATCAAAGAACGGCCACTCCTTCAAATTCCCCACATCAAGAAATACAGTTGCTTTTTACATTTTTTTAAAATGTATTTATTTTTGAAGGAGAGACAGAGTGTGAGTGGGGGAGGAGCAGAGAGAGAGGGAGACACAGAATCCGAAGCAGGCTCCAGGCTCCGAGCTGTCAGCACAGAGCCCAACGCGGGGCTCGAACCCACGAACCCTGAGATCATGACCCGAGCCGAAGTCGGGCCATTAACCGACTGAGCCACCCAGGTGCCCCTATGGTTGCTTTTTAAAGTCTAGAATTGTGAAAGCACAATCCAAACTTACCGGTCATTCAAGGGTTGTTCTGGGTTCCTGACAATGTTGTGGTTTATCAGGGACCGTAACTTTATGCTAAGGACTTAGCCACACACAAAATACTCCTAAGGCCACCCACAGCCCTTTGCCTACACAGATCATGGTTCAGCCCCACCTACAAATTCAGGCTAGGGGTTCCCTCACCCCCAACCACCTTAGAGTGGCACAGAGCAAGACACTCCATAGACGTTGGTTTATTGGATGTTGCATGTTGGTTTAATTTTCATTAGAAGCCAGTCTGTCCTCTTACAGACCAGGACACTGGAGCCCAGGGAGACAGGCCTGTGAGGACACCTGGGTTAGTGACAGGTAATCCAGGCCAGAAGACACCGCTGTACCAAAATGCTGCCGTTTTAAGGCAAATCGTTTTTCTTTAACCAAATAGTCACCACACCAACCAAAAGACGAGACAGAGATGATCAAACCTGTCTCAACTGCCCCCATAACCATTAGGGACTGGGGAATAAAACCACTCGGGAAGTATGGCATTTTCATTCATGAACCAGTAAATCCACGCTGCTCACCAGCACCCGCCCCATCCACCTGAGGGCCAAACCAAGGTCAGTTACATTTCCTTACACTTGGCAGTTAATCGGTTTCAGCTGGCTTACCGGGGGCAGACCCCGTTCGGGGTTGTCCACAGAAATATTTAAATAGAAACATCAAAGTTCTGCAGGAGAAAAAGGCCTTGACCAAAGGCGATTCCAAATGTATCCAATGAAGGGGCGCCTTGGTCACTCAGTCGGTTAAGCGTCTGACCAGCTCAGGTCATGATCTTGCGGTCCGTGAGTTTGAGCCCCGCGTAAGGCTCTGTGCTGACAGCTGGGAGCCTGGAGCCTGCTTGGGATTCTGTGTCTCCCTCTCTCTTTGCCCCTCCCCTGCTCATGCTCTGTCTCTCTCTCTCTCTCTCTCTCTCTCTCTCTCTCAAATAAATGTTAAAAAAAAAAAAATTAATCCAATTAAGTCACCTGGTCTTCACAACAATTCTGAGTCTGGAAAACAGGTCAAACCTGCCCGTTTTTTGTTTGTTTTAAGGAAGTGGCTGAGGCCGACTGGAGAACTGAACGGATTTCGTAAGCCTGGGCTGTTTTCCGGAGTTACGTACCGCCAACGACCCTCCCTGATAACATGTCTCTTTGTGCCCGCCGTGCCTTTACACTAACGAGACCCGTCCTAATTTGGAGTCCCTGCACCTGACAGCATTCTGGACAATAACAGAGATGCCCTAAAGCTAGCACAAGGGGTCAGTGCTCGAGAACTCCACCTGTGTTTTGGTAAAAGTTCAGCAGGTCGGCTTAGTAATGAATCTTCAAACTCCAAGAGAAATACTAACTCATCACAGGGTACAAATTTAGGAGAAAGGGCTACCAATAAAAAGTCTCTGAACAAACTGTGACCAGAGGCCCCTTATGCGTCTCAAAGCATTTGGCACCTGAAACTAATGGCATGCTGTGTGTCAACTATCGTGCAGAAAAACAAAAAGCCAAAACTCCTTAGGTTATTCTGTGGCAGGCCCAACTATGTACACGCCTTTGGTAAAATCCGTCTGATGACTATTACAGCAAAAGTAAACTTTACCACTTCAGTTACTTACTGGCTAGGGAACCGTGGCTTGCGTAATTCTCGTTTTCTCAGAGCCTCTTCCACACAAAGGCGGATAAACAAATGTCTCCACCGTGTTGTGAGAAGTGAGAAAATACAATATACAAGCTCTTTCACGGTTTAAAATATATTCCTGTATCTTACACAAACACAAATAACGTACATAAACATCCACAGGGCAGAGAGGAAAACCCCTCGAGGGGATACGGGGCTCCGACTGGGACACGCTTGTTCCTTACACGCCTAAATCCTTTTACACCGTCCGTCCTACTTAACAGCCGAGGCCGGGGCTGGGTCCTCGGGGGGTCATTCGGGTGAACCCCACATGCGACCCGGGCCCCAGGCGCGCCCACCGGGGCCGGGCTGCGCGAGGCGCCCCAGGACCCGCTCGGTCCCCTCGCCCAGCGCTTCCGGCACTTCCAGTCCGCGATGCGGAGGAAACTCTGCACCGCCTCGGCCGGCCTGCTGGCCCTGGCCCGGCCCCCCGACGGCCCCGCGTCGTCCCCGGCTTTCGGCGGCGCCTCCCGTCCGGACGAGCGCCTGCGGCCAGGTACCTGCGTCCAGCGGCGGCCCGTAGAGTGCGAGCCCGGCAGACAGCAACGCGACCACCGCCGCGCCGGCGACCACAGCCCCGGCCCCCGCCCGAGTGGCCATGCCCGCAAGGCCGACAGCGACCTTACCTCGCCGGCAGGCGCAGGCAGCCACCCAGACGCGACCCACAGCCATCGGCGGACTTCCGGGCTCGCGCCCCGCCCCGCGCCGCCGCCGGAAACACGGCGGCCCGCGCCGTCCCGGAAGCAGGCGCTCAGTCCGGCCTCGCCCCACCCACAGGCCAGCCTCCACCAGTCATAGTTGGTCTCCCATGATTGACAAGCTCAATGCCCAACCCAGCAGGGCCCCAGCTCCGGTCGCCTGGAGTTTTGCCGGAAAGCAGGTTAGGGCATCAGCGTGCGCCGTAGTGATTGGGGGTTTGGGTTGTTTTTGTTGTTCCTATTTTGGGCCGGGAGCATTATGGGAAGTGGGGCAGCACGCTGACTCGTTGACAGACACTTTGCTTTTGGAAAGCAGGTGGAGGGTCCGGAGGAGCATCTCTGCGCAGCCCAGTCCCTCATGTGCCCGACCTCTTCCCTGGACTCCCAGACTGGTCCATCCAGCTCGGTGGCCCCCGCCAGGCTCCCCGCCTCCATAAGTCGGAGCTCGGCCATCGCAGCTGCGCGAGTCAGAAACCCGGAGGGCAGGCTCGCTCCCCTCATTCCCCCGCACGCATCCCTCCTCCTGAGGGCCTGCCTTGTGGAAGCCGCTTTTAGGGAAACAGGCTTGAGCGGTGGAATGCAGAAAGGGTCCACGGCGACCCCTTGGCTGAATACGCACAGGCCCATAAGGAGACCCACCTCAGGACAGCCGTAGCCCCTAACTGACCAACGGGCTACTTACAACCAGGCGCAGTTACGCAAACAGGGAGAATTGCATGCGTTGCCATACCTCGTCTTCCCCGTTTAAAGTAGCCCCCACCCACTGTCTCCTTGCAGACAGCCGCTGCTCTGCTGTCCTGCCCGCTGCTCCCTTGCCCTGTATGCAAACGTGCATCCCCTTTGCTCTGCCTCAGGTGAATTCTTTCACTTCCCTCGCCCCTGGCTTCCACCCCCATCATAGTCTCACGTTTGGGGGCCCCCATCCCACCGGGAGAGACACCACGTTTAGACACCACATGCCTTAGAAACGGATTCAGAATTTGCCTGCCCGCACACTCTGCTTGAAGCGCCGTCGTGGCTAGGAGATGATGGCAGTGGCACTCTGTTAGTGTCCTGGGGCTCCCATAACAAATTGCCACACCCCGGGAGAGGGGGACACAGAACAAGAGAAATTTCTTGTTTTATGGTTCTGAAGGCCAGAAGTCTACGATCGAGCCTTGCCCTCTGTAGCTTCTCTCGGTGGCATCATCCTATCATCCTGAGCGTCCCTTGCCTGGCAGCTGTATCACTACAATCTCTGCCTGTGTCATCACATGGCATTCTTCCTGTGAGTGTCCTCAGGTCATGGTACTTGAGTCTTCTTACAAGGACACCAGTCATATTGAACTAAGGCCCACTCTGATTACCTTATCATAATTTGAACGTCTGCAAAGACCCTGCTTCCAAATACGGTTACACTGACAGGTGCTGGGGGTTGAGACTTAACATATCTTGGGAGATACAACTTCCCCATAACACCTTGTAAATCCATCTCCCTATTTCCCTACAGCAACAGAATGATTTTTTTTTAATTTTTTCCAACGTTTTTTAATTTATTTTTGGGACAGAGAGAGACAGAGCATGAACGGGGGAGGGGCAGAGAGAGAGGGAGACACAGAATCGGAAACAGGCTCCAGGCTCCGAGCCATCAGCCCAGAGCCTGACGCGGGGCTCGAACTCACGGAGCGCGAGATCGTGACCTGGCTGAAGTCGGACGCCTAACCGACTGCGCCACCCAGGCGCCCCTTTTTTTTAAGACAATTTGTTTTGAGAGACAGGAGGGACAGAGAGAGAAGCAGAAAAAGAATCCTAAGTGGGCTTTGCAGTGTCAGTGTCAGTGCAGAGCCCTAGGCGGGGCTTGGTCCCACTGAGTAGGTGAAGGTCTAGCATTAGGCAGGGATAGATAAGGGGTCCTCAGGGAGGCAGGCTGCAGTCCAAGTGAGAGGCTGAAGGGTTTTGGAAAAAAAAAAGGGTAAATGTATCCCAGACCCACCTGGGCTAGGTGCCATGACTGGAGTCTCACGAACGTTCTGATAAGGTCCCAATAAAAAATCAAAGACAAAAATCCTTGGTGGCAACCCAGTCAGGGACCCCTCTTACTCTTGAGAGCTTTGTAACTTCAGCTCAATAAACTCTATCGCTTTGCTCACTCTCTGTTGTCCATGAGATTCATTCTTCGACTCCAGGAGACCGGGACCAGTGTCTCTCCCACCCTCCTGTAACACCATGAACCCTGAGATCATGACCCGTGCCAAAATCAAGAGTCAGACGCTTAACCAACTGAACCACCTAGGCGCCTCGACAGAATGATCTTTCTTAAATGAAAGATCACGTCACTCCTTCGTACAGAACCCTCCAATGATTTCCTGTGTTGGAGCAAAATCCAGCTAGGTGTTGTCTTTCCCGAGGAATAATTTACATAACAAAAACTTCACTGATTTCAAGTGTACAATTCCATGAGTTTGCACAAACGTATATAACCATGTAGTCACCACCACATTCATGATTTAGAACACTTCTATCAACACTCCCACATCAGGCTTTTGATGCTATTATAAATGGTATTTTCTTAGTTTGAATTTTTAATTGCTCATTGCTTATATACAGAAATACAATTGATTTTTATATATTGACCTTGTATCCTTTGACCAGGCTAAATTCACTTATTAGTTCTAGCATATACTTTTAAGATTATTTGGGCTCTTCTTATAAGCAATGACAGTTTGCCATTTTTGATGACGTTAACTTCATTGACTTCCATCACTTGTTAAGGTGGTAGGTAGCCACCAGATTTTTATTATCAGTATGAACTCCTGAATTTTCATTTTACTCAGTAAAATATATGAGTTTTTATTTTATCTTATTCAGAATTTTTAATTTTATATATTTTTAACTGCCCAGTTATTTATTACCAGTATGAATTCATGAATTTTTATTTCATTAGTTCATTTTATTTTCATCTTATTTATGTTACTCTTTTTAATATTTAAAGAAAAATTTTAACATTTATTTTTGAGAGAAAGAGACAGAGTGTGAGGGGGAGAGGGACAGAGAGAGAGGGAGACACAGAATCGGAATCAGGCTCCAGACTCTGAGCTGTCAGCGCAGAGCCCAACGTGGGGCTCGAACTCACGGACCGCAAGATCATGACCTGAGCTGAAGTCGGACACTTAACCGACTGAGCCACCCAGGCACCCCTTTTTTAATATTTTAAATGCAAACATATTAAATATTTACATTTCTTTTTTTTCATTTTTTTAAAAATTTGTTTTTTGAGAGAGAGAGACACAGCATGAATGGGGGAGGGGCAGAGAGAGGGGGAGACAGAATCCAAAGCAGGTTCCAGACTCTGAGCTGTCAGTACAGAGCCGAACTGAGAGATCATGACCTGAGCGGAAGTCTGATGCTTAACTAACGGAGCCACCCAGGTGCCCTAAATATTTACATTTCCACCATTCCCCTAGGGACCCCAGCCTCAGGGCCAACTCTAATCCCTGTGATAAAATCCTTCCCACAGAACGCAGCATGTGAGTTCCTTCTCCTGTGGGGAGTGGGGGAGGAGATCTGTGCGACCTTAGAAAAGTTGTGCAGATCGATCTAAAGGACTCTTCCTCACTCAACTGTAGAGCTGTGAAGAGGTCATTGGCACTGGCCCAGCGCCAGTGGAGGTGTCATGGCCGAAGCAAGAGCTTGAAGCTCACTGGACGCAGACCTGCTTCACTGCAGTGTTAGGATGGGCCTTCCCAAGCCAAAACCACAGGGAGAGGAATGTAACCCATCTGAAATGCGGGCATCCACTTCGTTTCCAAACATCACCTCTGAACTAGAACAGCTTCACCTTTGGCCCATCCCTCTGGCAACGTCCAGAGGTGACCTTCACCTTCCAACAGTCCTTCCCAGGTTCTTGGCCTCCAGGCTGCTGTCCTCATCAGCCAGGCTCAGAAATTGATCCAAGAGAGAACAATCGGAACCCAGATCTTTTACTATCCAAATATCACCTTGGATAATATCATAGAAGACTTGTAAGAATGTTTTTCAGGATTCACCCACAAAATCTGAAAGTTCATTAATGCTGAAATAATCTGTAATTTTCTTAGTAAGCTTGAGGGGACCATAATTAGCATAACACTGACAAGGGATTTGCATTCCAATTAGCATAGTCCTATTAATTTAATTACCGCGGTGGGAGCAGCTCCTTAGCCTGCCCTTTGATAATTGGGAGGCTGTCCTTTGCTTTGAGAACTATCTCTCGTGACATCTTACCTATTATTTTTAGCTTTGCAATGAAGAGCCATATAATTAGGGGATATAGCCAAAAGGAAAAATAAAATTTATGTCCAGGATCAGCAAATTTTTATTTTCAGACTTAAGGAAAAGCCAGTCAGGCTTAGGTAGATTTGGTTTCCCCGGGGGCTTATTTGAAATGCAGAAGCACAAAGGGACCTATTCTTTCCATAACAGTTAAGTCGTCCATTTCAAGGGATTGCTGTGATTCAGCATCTTTCTTAAAAACACAAATAAAATAACCAATTGAAATGTTGATGCTGTTATTGATTTGCCTGGAACATTCTTTACCTGGTGTGGCCTCAGCAGGACGTTGTCCTCGCGACCCCAGGAGAGGCCAGTGGTGAATGCTGAACACAGTTTCACCATAGTCTCTACCCATAGGTCAGTTTGATGGGGCTGGAGAACAAAATTACCAAAATCTCATGATTAAAGCACTTCTCGTATCTGTCACCCTTGCAGACGGCACTGCGTTGTCTTACATAAAACTCCAAGAGACTGTTTCTCCTTCCTTTCTCCCTGCATTTACCGAAGGAAACCACACTGCACTGGATCTGAGGTCATGAAACTCACCTTACTGACCTCTGTTCGGCCGGGGTGGGGGCGGGGAGAGGCTGAGAGCAAGTAAAACGTCTGGCTGTATAAAAAAGGAAAGAGAAAATCTAGCTAGCGCTAATCTCAGTGAGAAACTTTAGAAGGCCTACAGTTTAAATAAAAACATCTTATATAATCATAACATAAGGGAAAAAATACGAGGTTGAGTCTGGATGTGAGTTCTAATCCTCAGCGGTAACCT